TGAAATATTTTTACTATTTAAAATAACTGCTTTCTATTTGAATATATTTTAAAATGATTGCTGTGATCAAAGCTGAATTTTCAGCATCATTACTCCAGTGTCACATCCTTCAGAAATCATTATAATATGCTCAAGAAACCTTTTTTAATTATTATTATTATTATCAATATTTAAAACAGTAAGTAAATGTTTTCAGGATTCTTTGATGAATAGAAGGATCCAAAGATCAGCATTTATGTGAAATAAAAAGCTTTTGTAACATTATACACTATACCATTCAAAAGATTAGAGTCAGTATAATTTTAATTTTTTGGGGAAAAGAAATTATAGAAATTAACACTTTTATTTAGCAAGGATGATTTAAATTGATAAAAAGTGATGATAAAGACATTTATAATGTTACAAAAGATTTCTATTTCAGATAAATGCTGTTCTTCTGAACTTTCTATTCATCAAAGAAACCTGAAAATTTTTTACTCAGCTGTTTTCAACATAATAATAATAATAAATGTTTCTTGAGCATCAAATCAGATTATTAGAATGATTTCTGAAGATCATGTGACACTGAAGACTGGAGTAATGATGCTGAAAATTCAGCTTTGATCACAAAAATAAATTACATTTTAAAATATATTCAAATAGAAAATAGTTCTTTTAAATAGCCTAGTAAAAATATTTCCAATTTTTACTGTTTTGCTGTACTTGGATCAAATAAATGCAGGCTTGGTGAACAGAAGAGACTTCTTTAAAAAACATTTAAAATCTTACTGTTCAAAAAGTTTTGACTGGTAGTGTATAGGCAACTGTAATTTTTCTCTAATTTCTAGCTTTAATTGGCTTAGAAATCAGATAACTGCTGGACAGTGACCAATAATAATGATTTGTTTATATACTACAAACACTTTTTTATCACATAATAAGGCAGAATAGTTTCTATACTGTAATAAATATTACATTCATTAGTGTTCATATACTTTATTTATTACCTGGAGATGACTTGACAAACACAAATAAAACATATATTGTCGCAATTGTATGTTTAATGTCTTCATGTTTCCTAACGTTTCTGTTTTTCTGTGAAAACAACAGCGTTGCTTTTCATACAGCATAGCTGGACGCTTTTGTCCATATTAGGAATTTCCTCGTACGACTTTCTGCGTGAGAGCGCCCTCCGGCTTCGAGTATGAATGAAACATACACTGCACAGAGTGTTTAGCGCTCAGCGATGTTCATCTCGCCTTATTCTGTGTCAGAATAAAACAGGGGTGCCCAAACTGGGTCCTGGAGGGCCGGTGTCCTGCAGAGTTTAGCTCCAACTTGCCTCAACACACCTGCTGGTAAGTTTCTAGTATGCCTATAAGAGCTTGATTAGCTGGTTCAGGTTAGTTTAATTGGGGTTGGAGCTAAACTCTGCAGGACACCGGCCCTCCGGGACCCAGTTTGGGCACCCCTGGAATAAAACATCAGATCATGCACAGACTATCCTGTCTCTTTGAATTTAAATATATATTTATTCACACCGGCTCTTGAAAACCTCGGGGAAAAAAGTGCGGGGGACGAATTTACATGATATCAAAAATGGGGGGGACACGACCCCCGCGTAATCTATGCCCCTGGTTTATATGAATGTGTTTCTGAGGGGAACTGACATTTACCAATTAATTCTTTAAAAATCCTACAATGTGATTTTCTGGATTTTTTTTCTCATTTTGTCTCTCATAGTTGAGGTATACCTATGATGAAAATTACAGGCCTCTCGCATCTTTTTAAGTGGGAGAACTTGCACAATTGGTGGCTGACTAAATACTTTTTTGCCCCACTGTATATGTATATATATATATATATATACACACACACATGCATGAGGTATGTATGAAACGTTGCTTATATCTCATGGGCATTGTGTGGTTAGTAATGCAGCGAGACATCATGATAAACATGAGAAAAGACAACATTTCCAAGTAAATCAGATTTGTGAACACAGGCTGTGTGTCAGACAGAATTCTGAATCTATTTCAAACATGCCATGAATCTTTCAAACTTGGAAAATCTAGTAATTAGCTCCTCCTTAGAAACACTTGTTGCAGCAGCCTGTGCCTCACAAATCAGGCTTTGTTTCCTGGTAGACTGATTTAAACCTGTGCATCCTGACTCCCAGACATTCTAACAGACTGATTCGAGTGGTCAGTCTGAGGTTGAGACTGTGATCCCTTACCAGGCCAGTCCAAGTATGCTCCAAATGCCAATGCCAGGTGTCTGAGCCAGTCTGTCTGTTCTGCGAGAGAGGAGAGGTCCATGCCATCAGGGTTCTGTAGCAGCAGTGTGGCAATAAGAACCCAGGGCTTAAGAACCATGTTCTCCTCCTGGATGCGCACCAGTCGGAACGCAGCGTCGTTCAGAAACTCATGGGTGTCTGCGCTGGGTTTCTGAGGAATGCACCTGATAAAAAAAAGTCAGTCGTTGAGGTTCAACGTGATATTTCACTTTGTACAGACTGCAATCTGCTTCACCTAAAGATAGATTATAGCTGAAATCTGACAGTGGAAACCAAAAATTTTTAAATTAGCAATACATTTGATATATATTTGTTGTGTATGTTGTTAACGTTGTTTATTTAACTACATCTCCCAGAATGCAGTGTTACGTGGTAGCCGGAAGTGTTCCGGTAAAAACAGTTGATATATACGAAAACCCAGTAAAGAGAGCAGTCACGCTAAAGCAGTGCAAGTGTCTTATGTGTTGAGTGCGTCGTTCATTCTTTATAAAGATACAACATCAAGTACCGAAAGTCAGAATTGCACTGTAATGCGGACGGACTGTCCAGATTGCCTCTCACTGACTCAGTGAAAGAGACAAAAGTGGCTGAAATTTTCTACTTCAGTCAAGTGGAAAGGGCCCCAGTGACAGCTGCACAGGTGCGCAAGGGCACGCGAAATGACCCTGTCTTGTCCAAGGTCATGGATTTTGTCATGTCAGGGAAAGGTGAGAATGATGACAGAGAGCTCAAACCATTCACGTCTCGACGTCATGAACTTTCGGTGCAGTCAGGCTGTTTGTTGTGGGGAAGGAGAGTGATTATTCCACCAGCTCTGTGTAAATCAGTGCTGAAACAACTAGATGAGACACTAGACACTGTGGAATGGTCCGCATGAAAGAGATCGCCAGGAGTTACTTCTGGTGGCCAGGAGTGGACGGGCAAATTGAGGAAAAGGCAAGAACATGTACGTCATGTCAGAGCATACGCAATGTACCACAACTGGCACCGCTGCACCCGTGGGAATATCCAGAGACACCATGGCATCGCATTCATGCTGATTTTGCAGGCCCAGTCGAGGACAAAATGCTGTTGGTTGTCACTGATGCACACAGTAAGTGGCCTGAAGTGGCTATCATGAAATCTACCTCAGCTGACAAGACAACTGAGAAGTTGGGAGAAAATTTCAGTAGATTTGGACCACCCGTACAGTTTGTCTCAGACAATGGACCCCAATTTATATCGCATGAGATGGCCACATTTCTGCTAGCAAATGGGGTACAACATATCAACTCATCGCCCTACCATCCTGCAACAAATGGGCTAGCAGAAAGGTTCGTCCAGACCATGAAACATGCTTTGAAAGCTTCGGTTGGGCAAGGCACATTTCACCAACGCCTTCATAACTTCTTGCTGTGCTATCGCAGTACTCCACACGCAACTACTAAAGTGTCGCCAGCTTATTTGCTGTTCAATCGAAAGCTCAGGACAAGCTTCGAGCTGCTTAAGCCAGCAACCCTCAAAGAAACCGTTCTACAACAACAAAAAAATCAGGTACAGCGACGGAAACTGCGAGCCAAAGACAGAACCTTCTCGACAGGCTCACCCGTGTTGGCTCGGAACTATGGCAGAGGTCCAAAATGGGTTCCAGCTACTGTGGAGACCCAGACGGGTCCTGTGTCATATAAGGTTAAAACTGCCGGAAACCTTCTCTGGAGGAGACATACTGATCAGTTGCTGAGTGGTGCCAATATATCCACAGACCTTCCGAGAGGTACCGATGCTGCTGATCATGTAGACGACAGCTCACCAGCTGCTGTGACCTTCACCACAGAGCTTACCAAGACCCCAAATTCTCCATCTACTAAGGAACCGTCATCACCTGTTGTTTCAACAGAAAATCAGAACCAAGCAGGTCGCCGATATCCAGTAAGGGAGCGGCGCCCACCTCAGCGTTTCTTGGATTTCACTTAGTTAAGGGCTACCCTTGTTGTGTTGGGGCAGAATAATTCCCTAAGGGTAAGCTAGGGTTGAGGTAGTCCACCCTCATTCCCAGAAAGTTAGTTGTGTTCATATATAAGACATTTAACAAGAAAGACTGAATGTTCTGAGAATATTTGTAAAAATAAAAAATAAAAAAAAAAAGTGTTCATAGAATGTTACAGTGAAACTGAATGGCATACCTTCATTCTGCAAGTGACAATTCATTATTTATGTTGACCTTATGAGTAAGAGGGGAGGAAATGTTGTGTATGTTGTTAACGTTGTTTATTTAACTACATCTCCCAGAATGCAGTGTTACGTGGTAGCCAGAAGTGTTCCGGTAAAAACAGTTGATATACGAAAACCCAGTAAAGAGAGCAGTCACGCTAAAGCAGTGCAAGTGTCTTATGTGTTGAGTGCGTCGTTCATTCTTTATAAAGATACAACAATATTAATCTACTATAAATTATCAGTATTGAATGTAAATATATAAACATATTGTACCATTAAAAATATTTTACATATTTTTGAAAGAAGATTATGCTGACCAAGGCTGCATTTATTTGATGAAAGTTACAGTAAAAAGCAACATTTTATAATGTTATTACAATTTAAACTTTGGAGATAGATAGATAGATAGATAGATAGATAGATAGATAGATAGATAGATAGAAATACAAAAAATTATTCCTGCAATGCAAAGCTGAATTTTCAGCATCATTACTCCAGTCTTCAGTGTCACATGATCCTTCAGAAATCATTCTAATATGCTGATCTGCTGCTGAAGGAACATTTCTTACTATTATCAATGTTCATTGATTTTCCAGTAACATTCACAAGAGAACCTCTTGAGTTTTGATGGCATCATCTTTCTGATTGTTCTACACCACAGGTACAGTACATACAACAACTGTTTCTGAAAACAGATTTTTTTTTTTATTAATAAGCATCATTTACTGTGACATTATTAAACAAGGATAAGAAAACTTTTTATGCCATGGTGTGAATCATGCTATGTGTTGCTAGCATGCTGCTAGGTGAGTGAATCCATAGGAAAGCATTGTTTAGATTTTAAAGGGGTCATATGATGCGATTTCAAGTTTTCCTTTCTCTTTGGAGTGTTACAAGCAGTTCATGAATAGATAAGATCCCTAAAGTTGCAAAGACTAAAGTCTCAAACCCATAGAGATATTCTTTATAAAAGTTAAGACTTGTCCACGCCCTCCTAAAACACCTCGTTTAAACATGCCCCCACATGTCTACGTCACGATGTGGGAAGATTTACATAACACCGCCTAAATGTTCACGCAAAGAAAGAAGGCGTGGGCATCACAATATGGTGAGGGGCGTAACATTTCTGTCACACACTTGAGGTATTCGGCCAATCACAACGCACTGGATAGCTGGCCAATCAGAGCACACCTCGCTTTTCAGACAGATGAGCTTTTTAAAAATCAACGCGTTTCAGAAAGGCGGGGCATAGAGGAGAAACAATAATGTACAGTATGTGGAAAATGTGTTTTTTTAACCTTAAACCGCATAAACACATTGCATTACACCAAATAATGTTCTTTTTAGCAACATCATATGACCCCTTTAAAAACTTGTTGTGACAAAAATTCATTCAAATGCTTTGTGTGAATAATGTAGGCCTTTAGAGCAAAACATTCTGAGCATGGCTGATTGCAGGTGTCATACCTGGGCAGCAGGTTGTACTGAGAGCGGGTTATTTTTCCCTCTGTCAGACTGCGCACAGATACAGGGTGACCAAAGTACACATACATACTGCCATAGTCCTCACTCAAGACCCGCCGGGCCTTCAACAGACCCTGAGAGGAAGAAAGAAAGAGAGTTGAGAAATGTTCCAGTAGAAAACAGAATATCCAAGGATAAACATTCAAACATTAAAGGGGTCATGAACTGAGAAATCAAAATTCCCTTGATCTTTTGACTGATAAGAGGTCATGTGTGTGTATATATATATATATATATATATATATATATATATATAGGTCATATAAAAACATCCTGTAAGTTTCAGAACTCAAAACGTTCTCGTTAGACAATTCCCCAAAACGACAGCTCGTGGAATGTTTCACTTTATGATGTAATAGTGTGGCTAAACCCCACCTCCGCAGAAGATCACCACCTGCTTCTACATCACTGCATGTTTAGCTCCGCCTACTGATTCACGCATGTTTTGTAAATAACAAGAGAGGAAAACGGAGGTCTACACAGAAACCAAATGATAAAGATGCTCCGAAGACAACAAGACGCTGTGCAGTTCCAAGTTGTAAAAACACAGTCTTTGCATAGCCTTCCATCCGATCCCAACATTAGGAAAGAATGGATTAGCTTTATTTTTAATAAAGTTCCAGACCACGTCAGTAAGAACTTGGTCCTTTGTTCACTTCATTTTACAGCAGATTCTTTTACAAACAAGACAATTCGACACAGGATTTTCAGAAAGATTGAAACTAAAAAACGATGCTGTGCGGAATATTTTGGATCTGACAGTAATGTCGCACCACACAAGTGTGAGTATTTATTATGTGGTCACTGCTGCTTTGTCTGTTATTACAGATCGTTTTAATATGTACTGAATATGTATGCATGTTTAACCTAAATCACAGCAGTGTCCATCTATGAAGGCAAACATATACAACTGTTAGCCAATCATAGCAGTGGGCGTTTACTTCCAAGTCTACAATCCGCCACACCTATTCAAACAGAGCGTACCAATGAGAGGGGGTCAAAACAGGACAGAAAATAGCCTATTACTTCTAATTTATGATGTCTTTTCTTTGTAAAAATCTTGATAACATTATAACTGGACCTCAGAGAACAGTACAAAATAATAAAAAAGCAGTTCATGACCCCTTTAAGTGAGGTTTTATGCCTGAAATGAAAATTAACTTAATTCAGGAGACAAAAAGGCTTATTATCTTGTACAATTTTGCTTCATGATATACAGTGGTGTGAAAAAGTGTTGGCCCCCTTCCCGGTGAAACATTAAAGTGTGACAAACATGCAAAAAAAAAAAAAAGAAATCAGGAAGGGGGCCAACATTTTTTCACACCACTGTAGATAGATATATCATTTTAGGGACTGTTTTGGGTATTTAACATACATTTATTTATATGTATCCACTGTCCATTATGTGACTCATACAAAAATATTGTAATATTTATTAATATTTACACAATTCAAAAATGTGGGGTCAGTTGTTAAGCAGCACAACTGTTTTCAACACTGATAATAAGAAATGTTCAGAACCAAATCAGCACAGTATAATTACTGATTTCTGAAGGATCATGTGACAGTGAAGACTGGAGTAATGATGCTGAAAATTCAGTTTTGCATCACAGGAATAAATAACATTTTAAAATATATTCAAATAGAAAACATTTAAATCTTAAATAACATCATTTCACAATATTAGTGTTTTACTGTATTTTTAATTAAATAAATGTTGCCTTGTTGAGCTTATGGGTCTTCTTTCAAAAATATTTTTAAAATGTTACTGACCCCAAACTTTTAAACAGTCGTTGTTTTTTGCTTTTGTTTCTTTACAGGAAATGTGAACAGATTAAGAGAATATATCTTGCTGCGCATATTTTGTTGTTATATGTCTGCTAAAAATAGTGATGGGATGCATATTAGAAGGCCATGCGTACTGAGGTTGATTCTTTGGGCTTCGGGATGCCGAGCAGCTCACGGGCGTACAGAGATTCTTCCAGAATTCTCTCGTAGCTGATACTGACAGGAACCAGGTTCACATCAAATAGCTCTCCTTTAAAAAACGGCTCCATCACAATATTCAACAACCCTGAGGGAGAAGAGAAAGAGAGTGGGAGATGAAGCTGACACAAAATGAACAGTGTTCAAAGAGGCGGAGTGTGTTGTTTCTCTCATTCATCTAAATTTGCTTTTGTTCGCTTTGATTGATGAGCTGCCACCATTGGGCTTTCCAGGTTTAAAGCTGTTGATTTGAACCTCTGTGCCATAAATTAGTCAGGGGCTCTATATCATTCTGGGACTATGATTCAGTTGTGAAAATCCTGTGAAATTTCATTTAGCTGGCATCTCACTTCCTGTGTGCAGGCGATGCGGATCAAAAAAAATGTGTCCTGTCACCTTGAATTTATTTGTGCAGCAATAAAAAAGGCTGAAAAGTGGGGAAAAGCCTTGACGCTGCACAATACATGAAGTCAGCAAAGAGCTTTTATCAAAATGAATCACAAAAAAGTCACAGCAGCACAGACCGTCTGTTTTTGAAATTGTATAAAAAAATGTTACAAACATATAGTCGATGCACACTTACCCGTCTTTGGTGTGAGAGATTTGCATGTCCTGCTTCTAGTTCCTTCCAAGAAGAACTCAATCGGGGCATATCCATTCTGAATAAATGACATATAACAAGTTAATCATTTTTCAACAACGTATATTTTCAACAGTCAAGAATGGAAGGATATACAGTAAACAGTCATTTAGCAGATGCTTTTATCCAAAATGACTCACAGTACATTTATTACCAGTAAAATCGGACTGGATCAACCTGTTTGAACTCGTTCTTGATCAGTGTTGGGGGAACGCATTACAAGTAGCGCAAGTTACGTAACTTACTTTTTTCAAGTAACTAGTAAAGCAACAAATTACTTTTTAATTGATTTTTCAGTGACTTTGTTTTCCCATTTATTGACTGACAGCTGTCCTGTCCCCATGATGAGATAAATCAGGAGTGAGTGCAGAGGTGTTGTGTGCGCTGTGTAAACGTGAATCTTACTGTAATTCTAGACTAAATGTGAATACGCATTTACTCATCTCACTTGCACAAAAACAGATATAGTACTGCTCAAAATGAATAAAAACAGTGAAGAACAAACTCAGAATATGATGCATATCTGCAATAATTAAGTGTTAAATAACACAAATATCCTTTATTTAATCCAATTTTATCAACCAGTGTCTTTACTGCGGACCTTTGATGATGCAATTCAACCATACTAACAAGCAAAAATGACTTTGGATTAACATAACTTTTGTTTCTTTTTTTTTTGTGATTGAGAAGAAAGTGTTGAACCTTAACGCAATATCATAATGCAATACTTTTAGCTATTAGCTTTCCCCAACACTGGTCTTGATCAAGTGTCCTTGCAACTACACATAAAGGCCCGGATATACTTCAAGCGAAATCGCCGAATAAACTGATGTGACGTCATTTCGAACAAAATCCGGCCAAACCGAAGTTCGTTTTGGGAGTTCGAAACGGCTTGCCACGGAAAAGATCGTTCCGGCTGCCAAACACCTTCATACTACCATTGGTCCATGACGATTACGTCATAGGAGGTGTGCACTGAGGCTCCGCCTTCTTTCACACAGAACTCTTCTCTGGGTTCATGAATCATTTCGTCTGTCGAGTCCCTGAAGGTGTGATGTCCGTGCAGTGGAGAGCCGCTTTACAGTAGCCAATGAAGTTGTGCTTCTGATGAAGTGAGACACTGACACTGTTTTTCATGATTAATACTACTGCTTGCTTTTAAGCTATATATTGAATAAAGTGCCATGTAAATACACGTGGCATGACTTCACGGGAGTGCTAATTTGCAGAGCTCGTGCAAACATACCCATGTTGGTACGAACAGATGCTTTTTTTATTGAAAAATGCTTGCTGTTCTCTCCAATTTTGTTGTGTTTATTTTGTTACTGAGAGGAAAGCGCGCAGCACATATTTACATATTCATATAAGCATGGCTTTCATCAGAGTGGGCGGCGTCAGGATGTTCGATAACAGCTGCTCAACTATTTCGAATTTCATTTTACCCCTAAACGAAGAACGAAAAAGAACTTCGTTTTGAGTATATCGGGGCCTTAAGATGTTTAACTAGTGTTAAGAGCGGTGTGAAAAGCCGTACATTTTATCTTATGTATTTTATCTTATATATACGGGACAGTCTAGTTCCCTAATTTGCTGATTTGTTCAGTTGTTTGGATGAAGCGTCTTACCCTCAGCATGGTCTTCACATACTCCGAGAACACAGCCCAGTAAAGTTTATCACCGCCAAACGACCGACGGATGAAAAAAGCTCCCGACATGCGCAGCATCTCACCAACAAACTTCATGCTCATGAAATCTGCAGGAAACATCATGACATTAGTAAATAGCACAGTATATGTAATGAAATCACTAGATTTTACCCATTTATCAGCAAGACGATTTTAATCATCGTCACCCAATCACCCATATATCCAGGGTACTTAAAAATACCGTGATTTTACAAGAGTATATATTCTAGAATAAAAACATGGCGCAACCATGTTTTAAAGGGGTCATATGATGCAACTAATGCGGAGTTTTGCGCATCGTGTGTGTGTGTGAGAGAGAAAGAGAAAGACAGGGTCACTAACAGTGGAGTCAGCTGTCTTAACTGTGGCTTGTGTACTGCAAACACATACCAGCTTCATCACTGTGTCTGTCACGCAACTCTGTTCCCCTTTCGGGCTCTGTCTTTACATTTATTTTGAAAGATGAAGCTTGCGATTATGGAAAGGGGCGTTACATTTCCGACGAGTGCTTGCGGTGTTCGGCCAATCACAATGCACTGGGTCAGCTGGCCAATCAGAGCAGACTGCGCTTGTCGGAAGGAGGGACTTTGTAGAAAACGAAGCGTTTGAGAGAGGCGGGGCGTAGAGGACCTACAATAATGTACAGTATTTGAAAAAGAATGTGTTTTTTGAACATTAAAGCATGTCAACATATTCTGTTACACCAAATACACAAAATAATGATCTTTAAAAAAAAGCATCATATGACCCCTTTAAGTTTATGAAGTTTAGAAACTACCACAGAGTGCTTGTATTAAGATTTTGAATACAATACAGAAAGATTAGCAATTGTTTAGACGCTCCAGCTGGCACTTTTTGTACATCAAACCACCCAGATACTGTCTAAACGAAGTCAACCCTCAAAAACACCCTGAGAACCACAGAAAGGCTATAAAATCAGTTAAAGTCCACTCAAGCATATAAAGGAGTATGGACTATATACTTTTGCAAAGTGTGTCTACTTGTGTTTGTATAATAGGTACACTCCTCAAACAACTCCTGTCCACACTCACCCATTCCAGCTGCGATCACAGGCAGGGGAAGGTCGTACATGTAGAGTAAGTAGGACATCATCAGGAAGTCCATGTAACTTCGGTGGCTGGGCAGAAGAACCACCGGGTGTTCCTGTACAGCCTGCTGGAGCTGAAGAGAGAAAGCATCATCGATGACATCAAACTCTATTTACATGCCATCTTTATTAAACCAAACGGCAGGACCATCTATAGCACTGGTTCTCAACCAAGGGGGCTCAGGATGACTTAAAAGAATTTCAATTAATTCATTATTAATTATACATTAAAATAATCTAATTCTTAAATAAATAATAATAATAATATTAAGACATAAACTGAAATCAAAATGTTCCCCCTTCAATAACTATTATATAGCACTGTTGGGCTGAAGAACACACAGTTCTGGCAACATCTGAAATCATGACATTTCAATGAATTGATTTAATGTATCGAAACTCCCTATTAAAAAAAAAAAAGTTTGAAAACAAGCAGCGCTTTCATGATTACAGTAGAAATACAGGAAATACACTTGGCCAATGTTTGAAATAATTTATTTATTTATATAAATATATTTTATACTCACAAAAGCCGCTTTTATTTGATAAAGATATAGTAAAAACAGTAATATGGTGAAATATTATTACAATTATTAAAAATGTAATTTATTCCTGTGATTTAATGCTGATGCAAGGATGCATTAAATTGATCAAAAGTGACATTAAACACCGGTGCTATGAAAGGAATGGATAGTTAAAAATATTACGATTACGAAGACCTTTATGAGGATGATGAATTTGTTTTTATTTATTTTTTTCAGCTTGTCACATACTCCCAGGGGTAAAAGCACTCTCAAGATGATCTGCAATATTATGAGTACTGGCCTTGAAGCTTCTGAATACTATTTCTTGCTTATTAGTCAAATGGGCCAAAATATTAGTTCTGTGGTTAAGCTAATCTGGGAAAAAGACTTGGGATGCACACTTGAAGACAAGGACTGGGATTGAATTGCTGGGAATTTAAAATGAATGTCTCAGGATATTAGAACACGTCTCATACAATTCGAAATTTTACACAGATTCTACTGGACACCCAGGAGGTTGTTTACAGCAGGTTTTCAGGATAATCCGCAGTGTCCGGAAGTCATGTTAAAAAGACTGAATCACAGTGGATACAGAGCTGCATCATGCTAGGCAGACAGATAACTGCAAAAAGCTGGAAATCTTCCGGATTTAGGGCGGGTGGCAGCCCTCGAAAATCTTTCCTATAATGTTGGTATTTATTTTGATTTCTGTAATCCACAGTAGTGGTAAGCATGTGGCGAGATGAAAAATAATAATGGCTATGGTAAATATGATACAGCTTCTAGTAGGAACTCAAGGTAGTGGCAACACCCCCCTTTTCAGTTTTTTTTTCTTAATCCATTTACTAATTTATTTTACTATTATAATGACTAACTATTTTGCTTCATTAATGTTTTGTTGTTGTTGTTGTTTTTCAGTGGTATGTTTATCTCAAGTACATGACAAGTACAAATCGTAAAAAACATTTAATATTTCACAATATTACTGTTTTACTATATTTGTAATTAAATAAATGCAGCCTTGGTGAACAAAAGAAACGTCTTTCAAAAACGTTTTCAAAAAAGGCTTAATTATTCAATGACTAGTATAATATATATATATATATATGATAATAAGCACTTTTAAAATAATAACATACTAATGACAAGGGATTTGAGCTGCCTCAATCCCTATGTGACCTTATTCTACTTCAAGCATGAATTAAATTAATACACCCGTTTTAGTAACATTAGATGACCCTAGTAGTCAGCTCACAGTGTAGATGCCAGGTGTTTTAGCAGGAAATTCACACGTGTATCTTGGGGACAGTGAAGAGTCACTCACTCTCTGGATGCCCTCTTCATTGACACACACACTGCGGAAGAGTCTCTTGAAGGCTTTGCTGAGCGTAAAGACAAAGAAACGAACGGTGCTGAGCTGTAGACGGTGAGCCATCTCGTCCAGAATCAGAGACGCTTCCTCCGCAACACACTCAGTGCTGTCTCCTGATTCTGATGAAACCTACACACACACACACACACACACAAAACTCAGCAGCCATTAAAACATCCAGGGTCTGATCTGTATTCCTAGATACAGACCAAGAAATGGACAGCAGAACCCTTCAGAAAACATAACTGTAATATTGACTATAGGTCGACCGATGAATCGGTTTTGCCGATTAATCGGCACCGATAGTTGATTGCTGGAACTATCAGTTATCGTCAAAAATCCATGCCGATAGTTTTCCGGGTTGCGTCCATTGCTGGAGCGGCTGAGAAGGGTCTGCTGTCATTACACAGTGCGAGAGCGGCCTCTAGTGGTTGAAATCATTGACAGCATGTGCTATTTGTTTAGACCCGTGATACTGATTTAATACCATCTCCGAACTTTCTACCACGTCTCTGCTGTTCTTCGACTGGTTCTTCTCTGTACACGTTGATTGACAGACGTCTCGTCCAGTCAGTGGTGAGTAATCCCAAACCAATGGAGCTGTCTCAAACTATACCTACCTTTTCCGGTTTGTCTGAATTGTCGTTGTGTTTTCTGACTTGTTAATTTGTTTTCGGATTTGTCGTTGTGTTTTCTGAATTGTTGTTTTGTTTTTTAGACTTGCATTTGCGTTTGTAATTTGTTATTTTGTTTTCAGAATTGTGATTTGCTTTGCACTTCTCTGCCACCGTAATTTATATGTAAACAATGTAAAGAAAATAAACTAAAACAATTAAACTAATAGCTAAAAATGTATGTTGCTTAAACATATACATGCTTGTAATTATTACTGCTATAATTAATAAAATGCTGTCAGATTTTATAGAAAGTTTTGCATTGTTTTCTAGTGGTATATGGCTCTAAAACCGAGGTAAAAACAAATGTGATATAATATTTTTGGTTCACGAAAGTTCGTGTGCACTGGACATGAAATGTGCTTAATGTTTCCTCTAAAGAAAATATTAAAGGAAGGAAGCAGTGAGAGATTCACACTGCAAGTGTTGCAAGCATGTAATATTTTGTCAGAAAGCATGCAAAAATGTTGTAAAACACTCACCGAATACAGTGCTCTGGATGCCATTTCGACTCCGCACCTATCAAAGCATGAGTGTAATAGATGAGATGAGTTCTGGGTGAGAAAGTTTGGATCAAGGTTGATCGTTCAGTCCAGTACTCACTCCTGTTATAGAAAGGGTGGAATGACAAATGAGTATGAAACAGCCGATGCCGGGTGGGCGGGGCTTGGAGGTACGGCTGTTGGATCTTATTGGTCAAAATAATAGCCTGATTTTATATATTATTAGTATTATAATTTGTAGGTGCTCTAAGCTACTTGTTTAATGCCACTCGTTAAATGTCCCTATTACCTCACAGACTTCACTGAGGTGTCCTGAAATACCTGTCTCAGCGACAGAGAGAGCGTTCTTGAGTTTAGCCAATCAGAAACGCCTCCTCCCTGTCAATCATTTCGTGAGTTCGAGTTTGTGGTTTCGAATTGGTTGACACGTCTTTGGGGGCGGGATTCATTTGATTGAAGGTATGGTCAATGACTACATCTGGATAAAGTTAGCAAAACGGATGAAATAGTTAAATAGTTAACAATACTTCATATAACGCCGTATGTATGCATATATATGGTATTTCTGGTGTCATTATCCCGGAGTAAAAACTTGGCCTCAGCGTCACGTTGAAGGCGTGAACACGTGGTACGTGTTACTTTTCTCAGCGCTAATATGAATGGACCAATCACTGACGTTTGTGATTACGAGAATCCCTTTGTTTGAACAATCTGCGCGAATTTGTATTTTTATGCCAGGCAGCACTCTTTAAAAGTCATATTTCTAAAAGTTTAAAACGTTTACCGTACAACTAGTACGACAGAAACGCCGTGAGATTGTGTTGTGGTTGAACGGAGGGTTGTCGCTCTGGGCCATAGCGCGCCGCTTAGAGGAAAGCCAGCACTCTACAGCCGCTACAGCCTCCTCCTCCTCCTCCTCCAGTCCGCTGCTGTCAACATTCAGATCGCGCTACTTCCGGGACGAAGAACGTGCTGACGGGAAGCGAGAAAGGACATTTCATGCGCACACGTGAAACACACGAAATCCAACTTTGCTGTTGAAACGAGTTTCGTTTATTTAAAAAATGAGCGCAACAAGAGACCAACACGGGGGGGAGGCGGATGGCGATCGTCTTTTCCTCGATCGAGTTCTGAACAAGTTGTATGATTTTGGTAAGTGTCAAGTTTTGTTAATAACAGCTAACAGACCGTCACAGTAGCGTAGATATTAGCAGATGGTGATGTACAGCGTTTTTAAAATGAACAGTACAGCATCAGATAAAGCCGCCGAAAATGGTATGATAAATACAACAGGGCTACGTTCACAATGAGTCGCCAGCGCGTGCTGCGTGCACTAGTGACGCGAACCGGTGCAAAAAGCCGATTCGTCCGTTCCTGACGTCATCAAGCAATGCGCATTTATTTTCTAACACCTTAGTGCCATGTTTTATCAATGCAACATTCAAATAAGTCATTTGTGTCAACGCATATTGAAACATTCAAAAATAAAGTTATTTGTGTCAAAGCATATTGCTGATTATTGCCATATAATTCACTTAAAGGGGTCATATGATGCGATTTCAATTTTTCCTTTCTCTTTGGAGTGTTACAAGCTCTTGATTTACATCACTCGACAGAAAGGTTTTTGCAGGTTTTAATAAAATTAAAATTAATAACAGTCATAATAAACAAGCATATTTCCAGTACGCGCCTCAGGCTTGCACAGTATCGTCAACTCACTCATCAGAATCTTCGATAATCCTCAGCAAACTTTGCGACGGCTCATTCGGTTTTTGTTGAGTCCTCGATAATCCTCGGCAAACTTCGATAGCGTTTTAATAAAATTAAAATTAATAACAGTCATAATAAACAAGCATATTTCCAGTACGCGCCTCAGGCTTGCACAGTATCGTCAACTCACTCATCAGAATCTTCGGTAATCCTCGGCAAACTTCGCCACGGCTCATTCGGTTCTTGTTGAGTCCTCGATAATCCTCTGCAAACTTCGATAGTTGGTTGAACCGGTTCATTCGGTTCTTTTTGAGTTGGATGTGCTACTTCGGCTGTGCGTCCTGCGTCATCAACAATCAGTTCGATTTGTGAACCGGCTCAACCGGTTACTTCCTGAGAACCGGCTCAAAAGAACGATTCGTTCAAGAACCTAGCATCACTATTGTGCACTATATTCTGCATACTATTTTCAAAGCAAATGTACTGAAACGCATTTAGTAAAACGTTTAAAAAGTATAATCCTACCTTGTTACATTTACCCCTGGATTCACAGACAACTGAAATAAACTTGCACTGATTGATCTTAAAATATGTAAGTGCCCTTGTTTTGTCTCAAGATGCACACCAGTAATTACATTTATTTTTTTCCTAAGGCATGTTTATAAAAAAAATACTTAAATGTCCTAATTGAACTATGGCTAAGCCCTGTCTGTGAAACCAGGCCTCGATGTTTAATTCAGAAAATGGCAGTTTAAAAAAAAAAAAGTTTGGTTTTTTTTTTTTTTTGGTGTGTGTGTGTAAAGCATTGCAAGATTTAAACACAGATTACATAATAAATAGAAATAAAAGGTTGCAGCTGTTATTAATTCCAATTTTGCATACTGCACATAATATAGGCCTCAGTTTGCACTGGCTGCCAATAGCTGCGTAGTCAATGTACTGATGTTTGCCTACAAGACAACCATGGTGCTGCACCAATATACCTAAACTTGCTAGTTCAGACTTATGCACACTCCAGAAGCTTCGTGGAGCCGTCCCAAAGAGGCACAAAATCACTCTCACAGACCTTTTCCCGGACTGTTCCCAGCTGGTGGAACGACCTGCCCACCTCAATTCCAGCAGCTGAGTCTTTAGCCATTTTTTTCACCGGCACCTGACCAATTAATACTAGCACTTACCTATTCTATTCTGTTTGCTCTCATTTATTTACAATTTAAAAAATAAAGCAACCTTGCTATGCGTACTGTGCTAGAATAACTGAGACTTGTCACTTCGCTTGTATACTGTTGCTCTTTTGTTGGTCTGGTTGCTTCTATTATTTTCCTCATTTGTAAGTCGCTTTGGATAAAAGCATCTGCTAAATGATTAAATGTAAATATAGGCCTACATACTAAATATGTCAACAACAGTCTATTAAATTTGTAATTGCTGATTATAATATTTGATGTAATTTTTCATGCTTAGGGGATGAAAAAAACAAAAGATTGAAAAAGTCTCAGAAGAGAAATAACGCTACTGAGGACACAGACTCAGAGCAGCTCCTGACGAACTCAACAGTCTGTGAAAACATGCGATCTGGAGCTAAACAATCCAGTGTGGAGGTTGTTACATTTATTGATCCTCTGAAGAAGAAGAACAAAATATCAAAGGCTGTTGAACCAGGGCAGAAGGTAAGAGAAGCATGCAGCCTCAGAAGCACGTGATCTGCATGCTGCCATCTTTGCTTCATGGGTGATTTTCTTTTCTTTTTTTCTTTTTTTTTGAGCCAATCATGAGACTGATTCTGTAGATCCAGAGTGCTGCTATGATGTATTTTGATGTATCTTGAGCTTGTGTAAACCACAGACCTTTTTTTTCTGCCATTTAACCAAAAAGTCGATTGCTCCAGAAGTGCTAAAATGCATTTTGGGTTTTAGGCCTACAGAAATATGTCATTTTTGTTGCACTCTATTCTCTGTAGACACTACACAAGTCACAGTGTTGAAAAATGTGTCCCCGGTGAAAGATCTACAGAAATTATGGTTTCTTGATATGAATAAAAATGTTCATATAAATAGAATACAAGGTTAGTTTTGAATGGCCATTAAAGCTTTTTTTGTATTTGTGGCATCTACCAGCAGGAGCTGCTGTCAAACCTTGATCTCCTGGGCCAATCCATGTCTAATTCATGTGAAATGGAAATCTTTGTATTTTAAGAATATGTGCATGAAAGAATAAAAGCAGCTGACAGAGCTTCAGGAACCACATTCGGCTCTCATCTGTCTTTATCCCAGTTTGTTTAT